GACGGGTGCAGAGGAGAAGGGGGATGGGAACTGGAGGGAACAAAGAGGAGGGAGCAGGTTAGAGAGGAGGAGTAAGGGGATGACAACTGGAGGGAACAAGGAGGAGGGAGAGGTGGAGGGAACAAGGAGAAGGGAACAGGGGGAGAGGATGAGAATGGCAACTGGAGGGAACAGGGGGAGGGGAAAAGAAAGCAGGTGGAGAGGAGGAGAAGAATGGCGACTGGAGGGAATAAGAAGGAGGGAACTGGTGGAAGGAAAGAGGGCCATCTCTCTCACCTTCTCTGCCAGGTATTCACGTCAGCTGTTGCAGGAAATCAGTATCACCTTTCGTTTTACCTCTATATTTCTAACAACAAAATACATTGGTATGTGAGTTGTTCAAATTCAGTGTATAGTGTTTCTATGATTCAATACGTAGAACATTGTTTATATTGTTTGATGTTAAGGGTCAAAGTTCATCTACATGTTAAAGTTTGTTATTACTATTCCTCTAGAACTAAAATAATATGGTAACCTTATCTGACCTGACCTAACTTAACCTAACATAATCATTCCCTGACTACATCTAAATAAAACGCGCACACACACACACACACACACACACACACACACACACACACACACACACAGTAGAGAGGTTTAAAGTTTGTCCTCAATGTGTCTGAGTTTTGACAATCAATAAAAATTTCACAATTCATGATTAAAACTTCACTAAGATGATACTAACACGAGTCACTAGGATGATACTAACACGAGTCACCAGGACGATACTAACACGAGTCACTAGGATGGTACTAACACGAGTCACCAGGATGGTAATAACACGAGTCACTAAGATGATACTAACACGAGTCACCAGGACGATATTAACACGAGTCACCAGGATGATACTAACACGAATCACCAAGAAACAGTGGGAATATTAAGTGACTCAGTATATACTTTAACATATTTGTTATTTAAGTAAAAGTATCCCTAATATAACATGATATAACAGAAGTATATCAAGTATATATTTTTTAAAAGTATATCGAATACATATTATTAAAGTAAAACATGTTAACCTCAAAGTCTCGAAAATTTGGGATTATTTCTTAAAATTCAGAACAGAGTATTTAATTATTTTCTTTTAACTGGAAAAACAAACAAACAGGAAAACTATGAAAATTATCTGGAGGGAGTTTGTGGTCGTAACTTCAGGTTATTTTCCTATAAAGTTTAATCTCTCTCTCTCTCTCATCTCCCACACACACCACTCCTCTCTCACTTTCTCTTGCTGGTCCAGATATCACTCGTTTCAACACAACTTTGAGTTTCTTAAAAATAGTTCACTCGTTATTTAGACTTCACCAATTTAGTGACGATGATAGCACGTAGCCGAACTTGAGCCATCGTCCAAACTGAAGATTAACCACCCTAACACAACTTGGCGGAGTTAGATTAGATTAGGTTAGGTTACATTATGTTAGGTTAGTCTTCATGTGAAATAAACTTAGGGCTGAACCATCAAGTGATCCTAAATTCCCACATACAACTAAGTCAATGTCTCTAAGTTAGGTAACATTAAGAGTAGTCAAAATATAAACGCAATATTAATAAGAAAAATCCTAACTCTAATATTTCTGAACTTTTAAACTCCACAAGGTGAACTGAATAACTCGTTTTGCCTGCGTGTGGTGACTGGTAATTGTTATGGCAACTTGTCTTAATACAAAACGCCGGCCGGAGAAATACAGTGTGTGTCTTTGTACAGCTTGACCTTTGACCTCTGGAGTTTAAGTGTGGCGTTAGAGGCTTTAGATGATAACTTGGTAAATAAATAGAGAGATTTATACAAGGGGTCTAGGCATTGTGACATTTAGCACTGTTAATGTCCACTAAATTTCATGATTAGTGGACCAGGAAACAGGAAATAAATTATGTCATTATCCTACGGTGGGAAAATTAATGAAAGCTTACTAATAACAGAAAAATTATCTGATAACCTCACATTCGATAATACTACTAATTTACTGATCTTTTCGACAAATTGATATAAAACCATTTAGATAACTTGCCGATTGTTTTGATAACTTAAAAATACAAAACCATTGTTCGTATTGCATTACAATAGTTTAATAATGTATTGATAAATTATAAAGATAAACGTAGTATTATAAATGAAGTATAAACATTCACACATTCATATTACATATACCAAAACCACCGCTAATAAAAGTCAGTATAATTGTTCCTACAGACATACTATAAATCTTAATTCTCATTCTTGTGGTTGGTGGAAATCTGTCAGCCGGGAGCATCTTGTTTTCTCCTCCACTTGGTTCTCAGTTATTCCATTCTCTTTCACTCTCTTTAATCTTCTTCTTTTATGCCATATTATAGAGCTTTCTGGATTCTCTCTTTCCCTCCTTCCTTTTCATGTCTTCTCGGTTTTATAGTCAATATTATATTATCTAGTTAAATGCCAAGTCTGATTAATTCTTTCTCATTGACAAAGCCATCTGGAGGACATTGCTGGTGGAATTGATTTTCTTGGTAATACACTTTTAATGCTTTCCTTATGTTTTTACTTAAAATATTATCGTCTTTTTGTTGAGTTATCATTGCTCAGGTAGTCCTAATTTCCGCTATTATTCAACGCATATAATTTGTTGTTTTTATTCAGGTGTCTTAGACGTAATTAATAATAGGACTGAGAATGATATTACGAGTCAGTACCTTGCATACTTGGATCTTGATAGTAATGCCTCTACAATATCGTCATGTATAAGATCGATTCGTTGCTTTCTCCATTCCCCCGGTTATTTGTTCTCTATTCTAGTTATTATTTATCAATTTTAGCATAAAAATCTTGACATTCCTACTGGATTCCTTTAAAAATTCTACTTTAGTGGCATCGATTCCTGTTGCTGTGCCATTTGCCTTTGATTCTAGATATTACTTTCCAAATTTTTTCTTTGTGATTTATTTTATTTCTCCTTCATCCGTTTTCTGTTTGTCTTATTCTGAATTTTTCTTCAACTATTCTATCTATGTATTATATGTCTTCTGTGAGGTCTGTATTTCTCTTCCTCTTTTGTATTTCTCTTCTCTCGTGTTCATTATTACGTTTCTCTCTTCTGTTTGGTCAGGTCTCATGTTTCATATTTGTCTCATATTTCTTTTGTTTCTTTCACCATGGCGTGTGTGATCCTTGTTTGATATTCCTGGTGTTCTTGTACCCAGATCTTCTCCAGTAACCTCTTCCTTCATACAAGTTTTATGTTCTCACCAGATAATTTCTATACTATGTTCACTAATTTCTTGATGACAATAAGGTTCATGAATCAATAAATATGAACACGTTATATATTAAGAAACAAACGTAGATCCTAATTTGATTAATAATTCAGATGAAAGATATATTTGTGGCGGTGGTGAGGTAATTCGTCTATTACGTTCACCATTAAGTGAGGTAGCGGCAGCTGTGTGTTGCTCCATAACACCATTAACAGCGACAACAACAATAACTTGATAAATGTTATCACGACTAATGGCGCCATTTGTAATATCGAAATCCGATTTTAAAATGTCAATACAGGGATTAATTTTCAAATGTCATTTCGATAATTGTTTCATCGTCATCAGTGACCAACTATTGGAGGAGTTTAGTTAGTGGTAATACTGAAGGAATTGGTTGTTAATGGGGTTAATTACAAGTCTCCACTCTTGTGTTGGTGGTAACATTATGTTGTGTTTAAAACAAACATAACAACATGGTTTGAACGTGTCCAGCGTCACTTTGATGTCTCAGGCTGTCTTCGTGTCGTCATAAGACTTAAAGAACATCATCAATCTTTTACTGAGAATTAAAGAATCACAAGAGACATGTTCTTCTTGGGCAGCCGTGTATGTGAGGGTCAGTGACCTCGTGTGATCTTACTGGAGTGTTACAGTTTATGTTATTGTTATGAGTTGATGGTATACGTCAAGACATAAATCTGTCCTCATTCTAACATCATTCTCTCTCTGACTTCGTTCTAACAATGACTCTGCATCTCCTCTATTCCATAAACCTATATCTCTCTTACTCGAAATTCCTTAACTTCAGCAAAATCTATCATTAATTTTACTCCTTAACCACATGTTTTATTAGTATTATTTTTATTCAGAAAATTACAATGGTAGTGGATGATACAGGTATGCTAATTAGGAAACTCTGCAAAAATCGTATTTTACCTGTGGAAGTGAATTAAAGTCGTTTAATATTCCGTGTAAAAATTGGACCTTCATCGTCAAGATTTGTTTGGGCTTCGTAACTTTACTTTAGGATTCATTTCAGGTACAGATAAAGTCATGGTGTCTCAATTTAGTTTAGTTTAGTTTTTTTTTTACTTCAGTTAGTTTTAAATCGGTTTCTCAGTTGATTTTACTTGTTTCATTTACTTCACCTTCTGTAATTCAGTTCCTTACTTCAACTTCATTCACTTATTTATCTTTTAATTCTGTTTTATTACTACCCTCATTTACTTCAATATATTTTACTCAGTATCTTCTTATTCCCTTCAATATTTACTCTTACTTCACGTCTTACGCTTTCTATAACACGAGACGATAAACGTGAAGCCAATCGTGAAGCAAATCGCCATCCTTCAGAGATAAGGTGAAGTAAGTAACCTGAAGGTGCTAAGAGTTGTGGTTGGTAAGGATGAATTATTATTACTATTACTCAGAGTTATCAGGGAGTGTGGTAAAGGAAGACCTTTTTAAATCAGAGGGTGAAATTATTTATTATTATTATTATTATTATTGTTATTGTTATTGTTATTGTTATTATTTTTGTTATTATTTTTGTTATTATTTTTGTTATTATTATTATTATTATTATTATTATTATTATTATTATTATTATTATTATTATTATTATTATTATTATTATTATTATTATTATTATTATTATTATAACTACTCATGTTGTTCCGTGGTTCATGTTGCTGACTCGCTGTGTTCCTCTCACACAGGCACAACGACATGGCGTGGAACGTGAGGAAGTTCCTACACAACAAACTTCACTCCTTCAACCTGTCCAGCGACCTGACCCAGGAGAAGCCTTGGATGAACTCTCCCTTCTCCCACACTGACCTGCCCAGGCTCAAGCGGGGGCAGGTGGCCGCCCAGGTGAGTTTGAAGGTGGGAACAGCGTCCAAACAAAGGAAACATTTTAGGACAACAAATTCCCTAATAGTTCATTTCACTTGAGAGACTCTCGGTCATAAATACGGGTGAAGAACTGGACATTCAAATAACCTCTGATGTAAAGTAAAGTGAAGTGGGGTTAATAATATTGTATTTATGTAGTGAGACGAAAATTAAATATATTTCATTAATCAAATGATGCCGTATAGTATGGTTCTACCCAGACCAAGTCTGCCACTCCAGCTGACATACACTACACAGCAATACATTTATGAAGTTATCTATCACCGATGTTAAAAGTATTGTTACTACTTTGATGGAACAATCACCCGTTTCTACATGTGTGTGTGTGTGCGTGTGTGTATGTGCATAGGCCCACTGGCATGTGGACACGTCCTGGCGCCTACCAACAACTGCCCGACTGCCTTGCGGATTAACCTTGGTTAATAAGGCTACGGGAGTACACCCGCACAAAAAATCTGCGGTGGAGCCCAGCATCAGGCAGACTTGCTTACAGAGCTACAACAAGACCCCAACGGCGGTATAGACGGAAGAGGTGACCAACATGGTAACTCAACGATTACACCGGGGGAAGAAGGCAATGCATGATGGACAGGCTACTAAGGCGAAACCCAACAAACTTGGCTATCGGCAGTCCATTCCAACTCCCCCTCTCCCCAGTCGTTGCAACACTTGCACCAATGGATCACGGAAGAGGGAGAGCCAAGATGTGTGGTTGCAGTCTGCGCTCCTGCCTCACCACATAAATCAACTCACGCACAGCCATCATCCAGCTCATCATACTCATCATCATCATCAACCCCGTATACACCAAAAGTCCTATAGCTATAATCGAGTGGCGACGGGAACAGGCAAAGATGACTGCCGGGAGTCTCTAGTCACAACTCTGCACAGATAAGATGGCTGTTTATGCACTGGGATCTTGGCAGCAGTGCAATCCGGTCCTGTCTATGCGACTGAGCAGCCGTTTCAAGGCTGACGGGCACCTGAAAAGGTATAAGGATAGTCTTAAGACAAACCTGAAAAGTTCCAAATCGACCCCCTCACCTGGGAGACGATTACTCCACATCGTAACGCTTGGGGGATCACACGAGAAGGTATCAATACTTTCGAATTAGCCCGACTGCAAACCTAGGCAGACAAGCACCAGCGCCGGAAAGGCGCTGCCGCCGGCCCTCCCGCACTAGATAGAGCCATCCACGTGTGCAACATCTGTGAACGATTCTGCCGGTCCCGTATCGGCCTCTTTAATCACCTTAAAACTCACCAACCTAGGTGACATCCGTAATAATTCATATCATTGTATCATAGTTGGATGATCGTCATACTTTATTCCGAATGACAGCAACGTAGTAGTGTGTGCGCGCGTGTGTGTGTGTATGTTAGAGTTACTACTGAGCAAATAAAAGCTAAGAGAATTGTTCTATTCGATTTAGCATCGAATATCCATTCGTCTCTAAAAGCATCACTGATCTCTCTCGAGACCCGGGCGGTATGACACTGATACCCTAGAAAGCCGGCAGACAGCTGGTGTGAGGTTGTCTGTACTCCAATGGCTTCCACCTGCCTACCTCTCCCACACTGCCACCTGAGCAGGCAGGACGGCGAGGATCAGGGACATCCAGAGGCAGTTTAAATAAATGACTCGTAGCCATGAATATTGTTGTGCTATATTCGTAATATAAATGAAAGTTAAATTCCGTGGAAGCCTCACACTGGTAGAGGAAGTCATCCAGTTCACCATAACCATTACTACCTTGTCTAGTGTTTTAAATAATTTGTCGTCACTAATACTTTATGTCTGACAAATATCATCAATATCAAAATAAAAAAGTGTTAAGAACAATGATATAGAAAAGGTTTACTCATGATGCAGTGTGTCATCCCTCCGCCGCTACTGTTGTATGTTTAGACGACCATTACGTAATAAAAATTTAACACTTCAGAATTTATCCTTTTACGTTTGCAGTTTAATTTCAAACACATTAAAATATTTCATTATATTACCTTTAATTCAGACTTTTATAATATATCAGCCTGAATGTACAGGGAAGTCATTCCTAAAGTCAATTACTCTTATTTTAATCGGTACTTCAAAATTTTTCATTGCCACATTTTTTATTTTATAACAAAATACTCTACAGTATGTGCAGAGTTTTAGTTACATTTACTCCCATACCTTCCTCACTATATCTTGACCTGCCCTTAAACTTCCTCCTACAGACCCCCAGCCGCCACAGCTGGGGGTCTACCTCCATCCATACACTCATTCTTCCATAACTATCTAAAAGTTGCTAGCACGCCCAATAACCCCTCAGGCACTCACGCTCGTAAATTGTCTAAGTCCAGGAAGGCAAGCATGAACTCCGCTATAATGCTTCCCCGCTTTGTCTTGCACAGTGTGTAAGGAGGTGCCTAAAGTAGCTGCCTCTCTCTCTCTCTCTGCGTGGGAGCAAATCTGAATCTGATTACACCTGTTCTACCTTGTGTCTTGTTGAAACGATTACGGATCTCGTGTTGTATTCAGTACCAAGGATTCTAAAATTGATTCAAGCATTTAAAAAAAATATATATATTATCGAAATCACTACATTACAACTACTTATGTTTTCCTTTTGTCCTTCATTAAGTTAATAAAGTCGTTTTTTGTTTATTATGGAAATTAGAAGAGAAGTTGTGTGGTACCCCATTATTAAGCCGTTAACCTCCTGGGCACGACGACAACAACATCTCCATCATGGTGAAAAGTAAACAACATGACGCCACCTGCTGCCAACTCGTGCCAAAACAAAAACATACACAGCCACATACGTAAACACATTTGTTTGTGGGTTATAGCACCAACCACGACCTCGTAATACAGACGACATAATTCAGGTATATAAATAAACACAAACATACGGACACACACACGCGCACCGACACACACACACACACACACACACACACACACACACACACACACACACACACACACACACATTTAAAAGAACAGGGCAGGCATAAACAGGAAAGTAAACACACACACATAGAGAGCGTGTGTGTGTGTGTGTGTGTGTATGTGTGTGTCAAGTTAAATACATATAATCATCGGATTAAACCTTTCAACACAGCTCACATTTCTGCCAAATAGGTGTAACTTTTTTTCGTTTTTTTATCGCCAAAATTGAGTGGAAATTAGTTTATATATGGTAACAGTGATGCTTCCCTCACTCCCTTGCTACCTGCATGGAAACACCTACAGGTAGATCTTCTGGTACATCCGCTTGTCTCGAAACAGAGGTTGGCGCTATCAATTAACCAATCACATTTGAGGAAGAAAAATATGACGTTATCTCCAAGACACAGGGAAGAGATTAATAGAAAGTACACAATATTCTCTCTCTCTCTCTCTCTCTCTCTCTCTCTCTCTCTCTCTCTCTCTCTCTCTCTCTCTCTCTCCCATGTAACGGAAATATGTGATATATATTTTTTATGGTTATCAAATTAATGAAGCTGGCCCGCCTCTCCGATATGGCTTCATCTTTTTCCATCGTCATTTTTTTCCTCGAAATATTCGTTGGTGTTGGTCGCTGTGATGGACATCCTGGATTTACTGTGTCAGCACGTCAGCTCTCTGTCGGTCTTGACGCCTCCCTCCGGCTGTCCGCCACAACATTCGATTCTTCCTGATATCTCTCTTCCTCGTCATTTTCTAAATACTGACCTTCCTCTTCTTTCTCTTCTTTTCTCTCTCAATTATTTGTGTCCCTTCTCGCCGGCTATCTCACTGACCGATTAGAATCTCTCATCGACGGTGACAAGATCGACGACCGAGTCAAGTGCTGTGTGGAGGGGACAGTTCTCAGACTCCCATGAAAGACTTTTTCTCTCTCTCTCTCTCTTTTTCTTTTACGATATTTTTTCTATCTATTCTTGAAAAGTTTTTAGATTTTCTCCAAGAGGAAAACAGAAGCTCCTGCACTCTGAGGATATCGTACCTCTATTGCCTCGTCAGGATCCCGGCCATTTCTCTGATTGCTATGACTTCCTTCACCACTTGCACTCCAATCTTCCGCCTGACTGTTTTTATCAATGTCTTGTTGTGATGAAAGAACAGGATCAGTGCTTGTTGATTTAGAGGGATTTTTTTTTTCTTCTTCCCTTGTGGATTTCTTCTCCAGCGTTACTGTTACTAATGCTTACTGAAGGCTTGAAGGAGAGAGGGAGAGTAAACAGTCCAGGTATCGGGTGATCTATACCATATAATAGCCACAACTGGACAAACCTACTGTCTGTCCTCCTCTCCCCACCGACTGACCTGCCATCCCCCCTCCCTCCCACTCACTGACCTGTCCTCATTTCCCTTCCTATCCACTGGCCTGTCCTCCTCTCCTCTCCCCACCCATTCACCTGTCATCCTCCCCTTCAACCTATTAACCTGCCCTCCTCTCCCCCACCCACTGACCTGTCCTACTCTCCCCACACCCTCACCCACTGACCTGTCTTCTCCACCAGCTTGCCCACAACTCTGTTCATATCATCCTTCCACACGCCCACACCACGTCAGTACTTCATCCTCTCTCTGTCTCTCTTATATGCTCTCCTAGCTTCACATTCCAGCATCAACGCGTTCATTTCCACCTCCGAATACCAACTAATTAAACTAACCGAGTCCAAACATCAACATGTGGGCTCAATATTGCACCTCATGCAGCAGATGAAGCTGGAACACCTGACTAAATTTACCTGCAGTAATGTAAACAATATACCTTCATGTGTCATTCATGTTTCTGATGGTCCTGTGATGCTGGAACAGTGTGATGGAAGTTAAGGGACCGGAGAGGAAGTTCCAGGTCCTTAGAGCGGTATCATGTTAGGGTTCTCAATGCTATCAGGGTCATGCTATACGACCCGAATTTACGGAGTTGAGCGACAGACTCCAGGATGAAGTCAGGAGGATGGTGGCAACCCTGGGCGTG